ATAAAATAATTACTTTTCCAAGTTAAGAATAGAGTTTTCTTCCGTCTAAGTTGTCGTTTATCAAATGTTTATTCGGGTAAGTGTTTATCAAGTCACATTACCTTACAGAATGAATATCGTAAGAACCAATAATTTTATCCGATAAAAGCGAGACAAATAACAAGAGTCTTACCCGGTAAGTGAAGACGACGACTCTTATTACAGTTTAAAGCTTATCGGGTAAATTATTGCATATAGTGCCGTTTTGGTGGACTAAAATCTTATCATGTAAGTAAGTGATAATGTTGAATTTTACCGGTAAGCACTTATGATGTAAGTTATTGGTAAACGACCTCTAAGTTGGAGTGTTAATTATTCGAGCACTTAGTGGTAGATCTAGATTTTTTATACATATATTTTACTTATGATAAATGCATTATTATAGTACCTTAAAATATCTAAATGTCATAACGACAACTACTTACATGACTTAAAATTATAGGATCAGACAAGAAAACTTCATATCAGTGGACAGATCTAACTGTGATTTATTTTAGAAACCCTAATTCTCATATGTAACCAAACCTTCTTCCATTGTTGCACTCGGTTTCTTTCCAGCGACCCATTCACTGCTCCGAATAATCCACTCATTGCTTTTAATGGTGTAATTCTCAACAAATTTAGTGTTTTTTGGATGATCTTGATATTTAAGTATAGCGTTTCTTTCGCAGTGCTTATTAGTTTTATCAAATTATATGTTCTTCGCCATCGTTAATGATGACTTACTAAGGATATATGAAGAAACCAAATAACCGAAAATTGTTTAACCTGAACCTCATTCAATTTAGATGAATTTCTCAACTTCAGGATTTTTAAATTCCCGATCACATGACTTGATGGATTCGCCAGTAGTTTATAGAACGATTTTCGGGATTTTAAGAAGTGTTATAGAACACCTATTTAAATAAAACGTGGTTTTAATTATTTTATATGACATCATGTGAAAAAGAATCCTACAAAATGTCAAAAAATCTACCGTATGTACCATTTCTTAAAAGTGTTTCATAAAATAGTTAATACAACGTTTTATTTTAAAAATTGTTTTAAAACTTGTCAAAATGTTCTATAAATTTATTGTATTACTTTTAAATGAGACTCTTTGTTTTTTGGGTCGTATAATTCTATACTATATTATAAAGCATTTGACAAAAACTCTTAAAAATCATTTTTTATGCATGAATTGCCATTTATTGATGCATATTACTTAAAACCCAAGATTAAAAATAAATTGTGCGTAAGTACAACTTATTAAAACTTCATGTTTAAATTAGTGTGACCAACTTCAGATAAACATAATCAAATAAATGATAAATATTTCATTTTGAATATAAAAAAGCTAAAATATAATTAAGATAATCATTGAGTTTTAATAAAATACTTAATTATTATATTTATAAAAATTATATTATTAAACCAAAAATAAATTATTTCGTTATTAAATTTAAATTAGATTATAATAAAAAAAATCGAGTTTAAGAAATTACACAAAAAACAAGAACTTTTAAATAGTTAATTTAATACTAATATTGATATATTTATTTCGAAATTTTATGATATCTTCAAATTTATATTTTATTTAAAAATAAAAAATATTATCTCTTTTTCAAAACCATATAAAAATCATATTAAAACATTTACTAGAACGAAATAAAACGAAATATTAAAATCAATATATATCTTACTACATTATATAAATACATTTCTATTTTAAATTAAATAAAACAATTTATTAAAACATATAAATATTTTTATTATTTTATAAATTTGATTTTTAAACGTGAATTAAATGAAAAGAAAACAATTTATAACTAACTTATTAAAATATTATTTAAAATAAATAAAAGCTGCTCCTCCTTTTTGAAAAATTTCCGTTACCGGGTTGGTCATGAATAATGAGAACCACACGATCCAAATCGCTTATAGTTTATCCATGGATCCGACGGTTGTGATTTTTTAAAATAATTTTTCTTTAATTTATGGGCCAAACACCTGTCATTGTCATCAGCACTGGTGAGTGTCGGAAAGCTTAAATTCATTGCATACTACCTTTGACTTTTTGCCACCCGTCTAAGACCACAAACTCCACTTCTCGACTATGGCGGCGCGTCGTCCACCAACTCTTTCTAGAAGAATATGTTGGTTCCTTTGATAAGTCCAAACAATATATAATTTCCAATGGATAAAGCACATATGCTCCTTAAACCGTTTACTTAGATGCTTATTCATTAAGGTCGTATTTGTTTTTACGGGTGATAAAGTCTGAAGTTTGATTTTATTTTTAATTTATAAGAGGTGATTCTAAAGTTTGAAATTTAGATCAGTAAAATTGTTTGTTTTTACGTCTGAAATCTGAATCGATCAAACTAATGTAAAAGTATAAAAAATAAATAGTTTTTTACAAAAGTATAAAAGATAAATAAGTTTTTGCTAACAAATCTCTTCCAGCCCCCAAAAAATGAACCATTTGATAGAGAGCGGATTAGGATTAAGAGTAAGGGGATGTTTGACAATTGTTAAATGGTTTGGTGTAGAATGATTAAGAGGTTCTCATGATATAGTGCAAAATGAAATATAATTGTTTGGTAATTGTGTATAATGAAATTAGGGCTCTTAATGGTTAAGGGAGATCCAGGATACAAAATCATTCAGAAAGTTTTAGAACCGTTAAGAGGCAAGCTTTTTTTTTGCCCACCTCTTGACGATTCAGAGGTTGCCTATTAAAGAACTATTAAGAGGTAAACAAACAACCCTTAAGTGATGTGTTTACCTCTTAAAATTTCAGAGGATATTTAGAGTTTTTAAGCTCTTATTTTAGAAATAAAACAAACTCTCTTAATACCCAAACGTCTGAATGAATCAGACTTTAGAGGTATTAAGAGGTAATTTTGAAAAAACAAACAGACCCTAATGGTGCATTTGGTTTGCAGGCATGGAATGGAATTGGGGGAATTTGAATTTAAAATCCATTACAATCCTGTGTTTGGTTTGCCAAATTGTCAGGATTTGAAACTTCGGGATTTCATTAAAATCCCTTGAACATGGGATTTGGAAATCCTTTGCAAAGGGCCGGGATTTGAAATCCAAATCCTACGCGCTTCTTCCCATAGCTTCCTCCCGCTTCCTTTATAAAGAATGGATTTCAAATCCAATCCAAATCCTACAAACCAAACACAGGAATGGATTTTAAATCCAATCCAAATCCCTTCAAATCCAAATCCCTCCTGCAAATCCAAATCCCTTATAAACATTCCTGCAAACCAAACGCACCATAAGTGTTTATTGGTTGAATTTGATATTATCGGTAACCTTATCAAGTAAGATTCTAGTACATCAACATGACAATATATGTAACAATTTACACGAGTAATACTCTCAGTCATTGTCATTGTTCTTACCGTGTATGATTTTTTTTCTTAACATGTTAATTCAGTTGGGTAAGTAATCCAATAAGTACATACTAAGGTAAGCAAGCCTTTAGTAAGTAAACCCCCCAAAGTGTCTTTTATGGGATGTTTATCAGCTAAGTGTTTACCAACAAGAATTTTACCTTTATTTATATTGTTGGATAACGTTTCGATCATTAAAATGAATTATTTGTAAGCATCTCTTACCTGATAAGCGTTAACCATATTCTCAAATAAGAACCTTAGTTGTTGGCATGCTTCTTAACAAATAACATTCTTAGTATTTTTCATTTTCAACCAATAAAATAATTAACACTCAATAAACGTTTATTTGATAAGTGATAGATAAACAACCTTTAAGTAGTTGTTCATCAAAGGGATGGGTTGTTTACCAAATTTTTATCTGAGTAAGCGCTTATCAAGTTAGATTACCTTACCGTATGAATATGACAAGAACAAAAAATCTTACCCGATAAGAGCGAGACAAAGATCGAGAGTCTTACCCAGTAAATGAGGACAATAACGCTTATCACAACTAGGGTAAAATTGTTGTATAGCTGCGTTTTTATGGACTAAAATATTGTCTGATAAGTAAATGTTAGTGTTAAATTTTACCGATAAATACTTACTGAGTAAGTGTTTAGTAAACAACCCCAGAAACTAAATAAACATTTACCGGTAAAATTCCTTTCCTTACTTACCTTGTCGAATAATGTTTTTATCTATACTACCTTATAAACAAATTTATCAAAAATCTTAAAAACAATTTTTAATGCACAAAGTACTATACATTTATGCACAAAGTCTTAAAAGTTTTAAAAACAACTCATAATGCATTAAGTAATACTACTTTATACATTCAGTCTTAAAATCTTTTAATCTGCAATTAAAATAACATATAGTACAAGTTACCAATGCACATTATTATATTTTCTTTCATGTTCCTAAGATACTTTTGACACATTTCACTCATGCATTCACCCTCTTATACCTCTATATCTTCTTCTCATCCTCCAAGGTGAGATTCAAAATTAAATTCATCATGAGTTATTAAAAGTTCTCTCATTTATCTCACATTCAATTGCTCTAGAACTTTTAGTCTCGCTCTCGATCTCTTGATTATTTGTTCTTGGTGTAAATCGAACACATTTGTGGAGGCGTTTAAATATGTTGGATTTTAAATATATTGAATTTTAAACCGTTATACAATTTATTTCATCGATATACTGTAATTGGAACCATAACTTTTATTTATTCAAATTGTATTAATATGTAAAGACCAAATATAACTTATATCATCGTTAAATTTTCTCTAATAAACCAGTGAAGCTTCAAAATCGTTAAAGTTCATAGTTCCCACCACATCGCGCAAGTACACAACTAGTCATTTGAAATGGAACGTTGGTCTTGAAGTAAAATTTTAGTGGTACAAACCGTAAATAACACCTAACCCAAGCCCTTTCTTTCAATCATACCACAACAACACCGCCGCCTGTCAACTATTTCATAAAACACACGGCTCCAGAATTTCGAAAACCAAGAAGTACGTAACGCCCATTGATTTTTCCCGGCAACACAAACCACCGCCACCGCCGCCGTAGAATCACCGGCGAAATGGCCAGTCTGCCACCGCCACCATCTATACCGATTCCTTTACACACACTCTTCTTGTTCGTTTTCATCACCGTGGTCGAATTTTCAGGTGTGACCTCACAACAGTTTTTGACTTCGGAGCGAAACACATTGCTTAACCTCAAGCAACGGTGGGGAAATCCGCCGTCGCTGACGAACTGGAACGCCTCTTCATCTCCGTGCAAATGGCCGGAAGTTTTCTGCAACGCCAACGGCTCCGTGATTATGCTTAACATTCCGAGCAAGGGATTAACCGGACCGATACCGGCGTCCATCTGTGACCTCCGGAACCTGAAAAACTTGCTTCTCTATGACAATTTTCTCACCGGGGAGTTCCCTAGGGTTTTGTATAATTGTTTGAAGCTGATTGAACTTGATATATCACAGAATGTTTTTTTTGGAAGGTTGCCGGACGATATTGACCTATTATCAGGACTCAAATCGCTTGTACTTGGAGCTAATAATTTTACCGGCGACATACCTCCGGCAATCGGTAATTTGTCAGCGTTAATGTCTTTGTTGTTGTATCAGAACTTGTTTAACGGTACAATACCGTCGGAGATTGGGAATTTATCCAATCTTGAAAGTTTAGGTCTGGCATATAACAGTTTTGCGACACCGGAAATACCACCGGAGTTTGGGAAGTTGAGTAAATTGAAGATTTTGTGGATGACTCAAACTAATTTGATCGGAAAAATACCAGAAAGTTTCGGAAACTTGTCTAGTTTAGAATCGTTGGATTTGAGTTCCAACAATTTGGAAGGGGAAATTCCTTCCGGATTGTTTCTGTTGAAGAATTTGAGTGATTTGTTCTTGTACAAGAACAATTTATCCGGCCAAATTCCATCAGTGATCGAGTCGTTAAATTTGACTCGAATCGATCTCGCTATGAACATGTTGAACGGTTCGATTCCTGAAGATTTTGGCAAATTGCAGCAACTGGAGGTGTTACATTTGTTTTCAAATCAATTATCCGGCGATATTCCGACGAGTATTTCTCAGATTCCAACCCTGAAGATTTTCCGTATCTTCAGAAATAATCTCAGTGGAGAATTACCTTCTGAACTCGGGATTCACTCGAATCTCGAAGCATTTGAGGTATCCGAGAACAAACTCACCGGAAAGTTGCCTGAGAATTTGTGCGCCGGAGGTACTTTGTTTGTCGTGGTTGCTTTTTCGAACAATCTCACCGGAGAAATCCCCGGATCACTTGAGAGTTGTGACAAGCTTCATACAATTCAGCTCTATGATAATAGTTTCACCGGTGAATTTCCTTCAAGAATTTGGACGTTGTTCAATCTTACAAGCTTGAGGATCAGCAGAAACCAACTTTCCGGTGAGCTTCCGACCAGAGTGGCATGGAATTTGTCTAGATTGGAGATCAGTGACAACAAGTTTTCCGGCCAAATTCCGGCAGGGATTTCTTCTTGGACGAAACTAAATGTGTTCAAAGCTAGTAACAACTTGCTTTCAGGTGAAATTCCAACCGAATTCACTAATCTTCCTGAGTTATCTGTTCTTTATCTTGACGGAAATTCACTTTCCGGCGAACTTCCATCAGAATTCAAGTCCTGGAAGTCACTAACCACATTAAATCTAGCCAGAAACAAACTCTCCGGCCAGATTCCACCAGCGATCAGTTCTTTACAGGATCTTCTCGATCTTGATCTATCAGAAAACCAATTTTCCGGCCAAATCCCGCCACAATTAAGCCTTTTGAGACTCACCTCTTTGAATCTATCTTCCAACAAACTCACCGGAAAAATCCCATTTGCATTCGATAACCTGGCTTACGGAAACAGCTTTTTGGACAATCCCAACCTCTGCGCTTCATCCCCAATCTCAGACCTCCATAACTGTCATGCCAAATCCAAATCCTCAAACTCCCACAAATTTTCATCCAAAATCATAATCATGATCGTCATTTTGTCTGCATTCGTCATACTTGTTGCCATTCTCTGCACATTATTCGTGTTCAGAAACTATCTCAAGAAGAAACAGAAACGGGATCTAACGACATGGAAACTGACCTCATTCCACAAATTGGAGTTCACAGAAGCAAACATTCTGTCATGCTTGACGGAAAACAACCTGATCGGAACCGGTGGTTCAGGGAAAGTTTACCAGATTGAAATCGGACGAATTGGGGAATACGTTGCTGTCAAAAAGATCTGGAACAACAAGAAACTCGACCATAATCTTGAAAAAGAGTTCTTATCCGAGGTTCAAATATTGGGTTCAATTCGTCATTCTAATATCGTCAAATTGCTATGCTGTATTTCTAGCAACGATTCTAAGCTTCTCGTTTACGAGTATATGGCGAACCAGAGTCTTGATAAGTGGTTACACTCGAAAAAGATGAAAACAAACCGTGGGTTGGTTCATCACATGATCTTGGATTGGCCCAGGCGACTGCAGATTGCAATTGGAGCGGCTCAGGGACTTTGTTATATGCACCATGATTGTTTTCCGGCGATCATTCATAGAGACGTGAAATCAAGCAATATATTGTTGGATTCGGAGTTTAAAGCGAGAATTGCGGATTTCGGATTAGCAAAGATTTTGACCAAGCAGAAGCCCGGTCAAGCCAACAACACATTGTCTGCTATAGCTGGCTCATTTGGCTACATTCCTCCTGGTAAGAACACTTTGACTTCGAAGGTCAAACCTAGTGAATTAAGATCGAAACTGATATTTGTCACACTAAATAGGAACTAAGACAACCTTCGTTGAATTCTGATGCATTTTGCTCTTATAAATACCGAACAATTTTGATTGATTGATTGCAGAGTACGCTTACTCAACAAGGGTAAACGAGCGGGTAGATGTATACAGCTTCGGTGTGGTGCTACTGGAACTGGTAACCGGTAAAGAACCGCACGAAGGAGACGGTGATATGAATCTAGCGGAATGGGCATGGTGGCATTACGGTGAAGGGAACTCGATGATCGAAGCTTTGGACCCGGAGGTCAAACAAGCCAATATGGAAGAAATCAGCCTAGTGTTCAAATTAGGACTCATTTGCACTAGCACATTGCCTTCAAGTCGGCCATCGATGAAAGAGGTATTGGAGATTCTCCGAAGATGTAAGCCGGCAAGCGAAGAGCGGAAAGTGGATGACGAGTTCGATGTTGCACCACTTCTAAGGAGAGAAAGTTATCTCTCGAATTATCGACGAAGTGGGAGTAAGGTTTTGAACGAAAGTATCAATATCTTTGATGGTAGATTGTAAAGGGTTGCGGAAAATTGTACGTTTTATGTAATGGCATGTTCTTTTTTTCGTGTGATTGTATAGAAATAAAGCTCTATTTACTGTTAGATTGTCGAGCTTCGTCGATTAATTATACCGTAATAACACGATAGTTGTATTTAGACTATTTAGATTCGTTAAAAATGCAAACTTTCCATTTCGATAGAAAATCGAAGGATGTATGCGGATAGGACAAGATTAGACTAGACGAGCAATAATGAGATAAATGGTAAAAGAATTGTGGAAGGTTTTAGGGTTTTTATTTAACAAGGGTAGTTTAGTAAATTACCATTCATATCCCATCTCTCTGATATTTGTTCCACCTATTTCGGCCAATTTGTCTAAGTTTCTGCCTTTTTCCGACCATTCTTTGGCCTTAAGAATACTGGTTTTAAGAAAGAGTTATCTACTAGGGATTCCGGCTTCATGCAGCCGAGTAGCAACCTGCAATTTGAATTGTAATAAAATGATCACCCAATGGAGACCCATTAACCAAAAGATTGAGTCGAGGCCCATGTTAGACTCGTGTTTTAAGATTCACGACCTAGTGATGTACGTTTTATGGTACTTAAAACAATTCATTGACAACCGTGTAACTCGCGACGATCGAGGTATCACTTAGAATGTTCGTGTATCAAAACATTAACAAATTTATATATAACTTTTGAAGCATCTTCAACGGTTTCTTTATAACTTTATAAACAAAAATCATAATCTCCAAAATAAAAAAAATTATATTTCACTCCATCAGTTTCTCCATTTTGAAGATTTTAGTAATAATTATGTAGTCAATTACAAAAACCGTCCCAACGGAGAGTTTTCGTAAACATAGACAATTATTGTAATTTACTTTAATTATATTATTAAAATATTCAATACATTTAATATATTAAATAACTATTCAAAATTAATATATTAATATTAATATTAAATTAAAAAAAAATTCTCTCTTTCGGTATAATTTTTAATTCATTTTGCTTTCATGCTTTTAACTAACTCTGTTAGAAAAAGTTCGTTAAATCAAGGGTAATTTTGTCTTTTTATCCTCAAAACAAAAATACGTCATTAAGCAAGATGGAAAGATTGAGGGGCTGTTTGTTTGGCTCTTAATGGTTCCATTAAGAGCCAACCTCTTAATCGCTAAGAGGTCAAGGCTGTTTGGGAAAAAAAAAATACTCTGAATGGTTACATTTTACCTCTTAACCATTTTGCATCCAGGGGCTCTCTAAACCATTCAGACTCTTCTTTTTCCATATTTGCCCTCTCCCCCAACATCTCCCCCACCCTCTCGTCGCCTCCTCCCCCCACCTTACGAATGCGATCGCCCTCTCCCCCAACCAGAGTGTCGTTCGTCGCCACCAACCAGAGTGTCGTTCAAAGACCCTCCCGTCGTTCAAAGACCCTCCCCCACCGTCGCCACCGTCGTTCAAAGACCCTCCCCCACCCTCTCGTCGCCGGACTCGCACAGCCCCTTCTATAYAGCACGCCCTTCACATCGCCTCCCACCCCCACGATCGTTGGTCTTCGTCTTCCCCCTCCCTGATCATCGCTCTTCCGGTTGCCATCTCCGGTCGCTCTTCCGGTCGCCGTCTCCGGTCTTCCAGCAGCTCGTATTTCCTCGCTTCCTACCGTATTTCCTCGTATTTCTGTCGCCGTCTCCCCTTCAGTCATAAGGTTCCTTTTTCTTTCTTTCTTCTTCTTCATGTGTGGTGAATGATTGTCTTTGATGTAGGCTTGATCTTATTTGCAACTAATTGATGTTCAGACTTTTGGTTGATCATTATTGATGATATAACTAGGGTTTATAGCTTAGTGATATATGTGCATTGATGATTGCTTATTAGGCAGAGGGACTAGAAGGAGATCTAGATGAAGTTACACACAGTTATATTTCATTAATATGAAATATGTAGTTACATTTACAAAGTAATTGTTTTATTCAGATATCTGCCAAACAGTTATATTTCATTCAGTACTAAATCATATAGAGGGTTAAAATGGTAATTTGTTATCATTCAGAGAACATTTACCAAACAACCATATTTCATTCAGCACTTAACCATTCTGACCCTCTTAACCATTCTGACCACTTAACCATTCTGCACAAAACCATTCAGCAACTGCCAAACAGCCCCTGAGACATTTTAGTGTTGACCATATATAGTAGAACGGAAAGTTGAAACAACGTTAAATTCATAATAGAGTGGTTGACGTTTTTAACGGATCTCATCCCTATTTTGAAATAATTAACTGAGGTGGGTCTTTGTAGTTACATAGTTCAGTTTAAAACTGAAGTAGGAGGGGTAAAAGTGAAATAAAGAAAAGATATGGGGTGAAACCAGCAAGAAGAATAACTTAAAATAAGTGCGTCTTCATTCTTCGTTTCCCTCCTTCTTTTCAACGTAAAAGGTTGGTGTCTGCTTGGGTCGCCTCTTGCTCCACCGCCGTCCGCCGCTTTCATATTCTGGTTCGTTCGTCTCTTTTGATTTTTCCTTTCGTATACCTGTTTTAGTGTTGATTCTTATGTCAATGTTAGTATGGGATGAATTGAGCTTTACTTTGTACTAACAGCTGAAGAGTTGGCCTTCGAGAATTTCGCAAACGGGAGTTTGTGGTAGGGTTTTAAACGTATTTGAGAAACTGAAAGCTAATTGCTCAAAAGTTATGGCTAATGTCACTAATAGAATGGTATTGAGTATTTGATTGGGTTTTCCCAAGGTGTATTTGTAAATAGAGGGGTGTTTTTATTGATACTTGCTGATTGCTGTTAAATATCAAGGTCATGAAACTTCCATATCTATAAGAAATTAGGAATGTATGTATGTATGTATGTATATGTAGTTTTTTTCTAAGGAATGGTGAATTGTTGTTATAGGAGAGTGTTGGGATGATTTATATATTTAGTTTAACACTTGATTGGTTCCGAAAATAGGAGGTGCACTTTGACTTCGGAGGTAATAACAAAGTTCACAGCAAAAACTGCTTTGTATTGATAGTTTGAAGTGTTATGTACGGTAACAAAGAAGAAAAGAGGAACATTAAAAAGTCTCGTCTTGAAAGCCCCTCATGACTAGCCTATTTAGTATTTTTATTCCTTAAAAATGCATGCAGCTCATACGAGACATTGCAAGTTGCTTTCATAGTTGCCCAACACACACCCCTGCAACTTGGAGCATGCATCTTACAAATGCCCAACTTGCTGAGAAAATTATTAAATGGAAATATGCCAAGAGTCTTTGTAAAGAAATCCACCCAATGGTGTGTGAGTGGGAACGTAGGAGGTGCGGGTTAAACCATTAACAATGGTATTCTGAACAAAATGATGGTCAATCTCGATATGTTTTGTAAAAAAAGAATGACCCGGAGATTCTTTTAAGTGATAGCGCCATAGCGGTTAATCCTTAGGCTCTTTTTGATTATTTGTGTTTGGCATCAAAGCAAGCGAGGGAAGGCGAGCGACTAGTCAACAACAAGCGAGCTGCTTGGCCTGTAGTAGGTATATGGTTCACTGCGGTAGGTATCAACACTATCCACAATACAGGAATATGCATAAACTGCAATTCAAAAGAGCTTACGGCGGGTCTGAGTAGGAAAAAATGAACTAAGTAGGGCATAAAACAATGAACTCTATACCACCAGAACAACAAAAGAAGAAAAGGATCTGAAAAAGGTCAATCTGATCCTTCTAGTAATCATCCACGATAGGTGGTCAAGTCGACCTACTAACCYGATGCATAATGACCTACTCATTGGACCTACCTATTCGCTATGACATATAGGGTTTGCTGCGATACGAAGAGCTTCTTGAATGTCAGAATGCAACTGACTATGTGTAACATGTGTAACACCAAGACTAGAAAGTAGCGATTTGAATCATATGAGCTCAGAAGTAGTATTAGCCATAGAATGGTACTTCGCCTCGACAAAGAAGTGAGACATTTATGTGTTGTTTCTTAGTCTTCTAGGAGATAGGAGATAGGAGACAAACCAAGTGTGATAAACCAAGCGGTAAAAGAAGGACGAGTGGTTGGGCACGTAGTCGAGCCTGAGTCACACTAATTGAATCGAAACAAAGAAGTACACTTGACCAGGATAACCTTTCAAGTAGCAAACTACTTGCAAAGCAACTTCTTAGTGAGCGATACAAGGTGCTTGCATAAATTGAGCCAAAGTATGTACCACATAGGAGACATCCAGACGAGTGATGGCCAAATAGATAAATCGAATGACAAGTTGGCGTTATTGCAATGGGTTGTCAAAAAAGGACTTCTAGGTGGCGTTTGGTTCGCAGAATGTTTTTGGATGGAATGGAATCTGTTGAAGGAATTGGAATGGAATGTTGTCAGGTTTGGCCACCTGTTTGGTTGGCAGACATTGGAATGAAATCTGTTAAGGAATTAGAATATGTCTGTTTGGTTCATAGAATGTAGCTTCGGAATTGGAATGAAATATTGGTAAATGACCAAAATGCATTTTTTTTGAAAATTTTAATTTTTTTAAACTAAAAATACTTTAATAAAATAATTATTTAATATGTAAAACAATATAAAATACACAACGCAAATATAACCATAAACCAAAAGACGTTACTAAATCGACGGTAGTCGGTGTTGGTTCAGATCGGTGGTGGTCGGCAGTGGTTCAGATGGCGGTGGTCGGCAGTGGTTCAGATAAAGGTGGTCCGCGGTGTTCAGATGGACGGTGGTTTAGATCGGCGGTGGCGGCGGTGGTTCAGATCGATGGTTGTTCATATCATTGGTGGTAGGCGGTGTCCAGCGGTGATTCAGATCAGTGGTAGTCGTCGGTGGTCAACAGAGGTTCAGTCTGTGGTGGTTTAGGTGGTGATGGTCGGATGTGGTTTAGATCAGCGGTGGTTTAGGTCGGTGATGGATCAGATCAGTGATGGTCGGAGGTGGTTCAGATCAGTAGTAGTTGGCGGTGTTTCAGATCGATGGTGGTCCGTAGTGGTTCAGATGGCGATGGTCGACAGTGGTTCAAATCGCCGGTGGATCAGATCGGTGGTGGCCGACGGTGGTTCAGATCGGTAGTGGTTGGCGGTGGTTCAGATCAGTGGTGGTTCAGACCGGTGGTGGTAGTCAGGGTGGTTCAGATGGCGATGGTCGGCGGTGGTTCAGATGGCGATCGAAGATTCAGATCGATGGTGGTCATATTGGGTTTTATGAGATTAGGGTATATTAGGTTAAGGGCATATTTGGTATTATGAAGATAGAGTATTTCATTCCATCAAAATACCATGTAGTTGCTAAGAAATGTTAAATTACTTTATTTGTGGAATTTGTAGGATTTTGAAGATTTCTTTCGTGAAAAAGAATGAACCAAACGAGGGAATGAAATTTGGTCAATGGAATTCAACATTCTAATTCCATCATATTTCTTCAGAATCTGCAAACCAAACGTCCCCTTAGATAATAAGATACGATGATTCTGCTCATTGGAATGGTGGCTGGTTTGGTCCCCAAAAAACCAATCATAGTAATAATGTTCAATGCATACCTGTGTTGCTATAAGAAAAATACTATTTGGGTTATGAGAAACTTCTAGGCCAAGAAAATATTTCAAAGACGCCAGGATCTTTCATGCTAAAACATGAATTCATATAATCTTCAAGTTATTGTATTGACGAAGAGTCATTACCAAATGATCAATATATACCAAGACATGCAATTGAACATCTCGATAGTGAAATGTAAAGAGAGAGTGGTCATCATAGGATTGAAGGAAACCCTACTGTTGAAGGGCATTAGATAGCTTAGCGAACCAACACCGAGGAGCTTGTTTTAGTCTATAAAGAGATTTTCGTAGATGACAAACAAGGCAAGGAGGACTCCTGCGATAAGCCAAAGGAGGACACATATAGACAATTTTCTCTAAATCGCCATGTAGAAAAGCATTGTGAATGTCCATTTGATGTTGTTCCCATTTATGGGCTTCGACCTCAACAAGAACTTAAATTAGTAACCATCTTAACAATAGGGGTAATGTTATTTGTATAGTCAATGCCCTCCTTTTTGGTGATTTCCAAAAATAACTAAGCGAGCCTTGTGTCATTTAAGAGGGCCATCAGAATGATATTTAAGACGATACAACCATTAACTATCAAGAGTTGTCTTATCGGATGGTAAAGATTCCATGTTCCAAGTGCCATTTGCTTCAAAAGCATGCATTTCATCTTTCTTTGTCACCCTTGTGATTTTGATTATGTGCAAAACAAAGACACCTAAAAACTCGAAGATGATGATGAGTGAGAGGTTTTTGGTATAGAAGTTCAAAAGGAGTTCTGCAACCTAAAAGAGTAGTAGGAGTGCAATTGACTAAGTAATCAACATTAAAACACACCTACCCAAGAAAATGATAGGTAAACGAATTGAAACATGAGAGCTCGAACAACATTTAAAATATGTTGATGTTTACGCTCTACCGACCATTTTGTTGAGGGGTGCCAATGCATGATGGTTTTTAAATAATGTCTTGAGCCAACAAAAAAGACTGCAATAGTTCAAATTTCAAATCATTTGTCCCTATCAACAATTTTCACAAGCTTATCAATCTAACATTTAACCGTGGCAAGAAACAGCGACAAAGTGGTTTGAAACTTTGTATTGTCAATCAACACGTAATTCCAAACATGAGAATTATCACTCACCATTGTCAAAAAGTTTAACTATGCTTTGTAAATCTTTTCCATGGTCAGGAGTCTTCTTGGTAACAACCTCTCTGCTTCTTGAGAGGCAGAGGAAAGGTCTGCCTACATCTCACCCATGACTCTACCTCCGGGTGAGATATGATGGGCTTGGTTTGATTGTCTAAAAATTGTTGGCTCTACAAGGAGTATGATATGGTCCCTGTAAGTCACAATGAAACAAGATCAAAAGAGCACAATGCTTTGTTTTCACTAATAGGAAATCTAGTTCTGTAATTTGCACGAACGCAGACATCACAAATTTTGTTTTATAAGACTTGGAACTAATCACACTAACATTAGGACTCATCTCAAGAACCTTGGTAGAAGGATTCCCCATTCGCTAAAGGAGCTCGTACAACAATCCTGAAAAACTATTGCCATCACCAATCAATGATAGTAGTAGACCCCCCATAGTTCACCCGATCCAATCAGCATCCTCGAAGCGTGGTATTGTATTACACATAGAGCATTAAGTGAACTGATGGTACAATCATGCTCATGTATAATTTGAGACACAGATATCAAGTTGCAGGTCAACTTTGGGACATATAAGACATTGTACAGAACCTAATTGCGAGCCAAAATCATCGTTCCTCCTTTCATAGCTGCAGGCATGCAGCCTGAGCTCCTGAAGCCCTATTTGTCCGTCTACATCACGTACATCATGTAGCAATGACAAAGTACCAGTCATATAATTAGAGGGGCTGATGTCAATGATCCACCGTTCACGATGATGCTTACCAGTCATATTGGGAGTACTAGATGAAAAAGACTGTTGTTGAAACACAGACTTGAGAACCTGCCACTGATCTCCAGTACCTCTCAGCCTTCTTCCAATATGTGTCCTTTTCACTCCCAAGGGGGCACCTGTCTTTTTTCACTCCATTGCTTAACGGAATGATATTTAATCATTATGCCATATCAATCTTTCAATCAGTTGCTATACTTCTGTTATGGATCCCTACAAAATCTCAAATGAATCAACCATTTAAATTGGATTTTGATTCTCAATTTGCTACAGTTGTTATACCATGTATCTTTGGGTAGAAATTGTGATCACTCATAGAAAAGTTTGTTCGTTCAAAAATGAACTGGTTAATCTTAAATCAATTAAATTCAAAGGTATGTATTGTAACAGCATATCATGTGGAGGGAAAATTTGTGAATTTGAAGTTACTTGCGAGGGGAGTATAAATAGTGACTCTTGAAATATTTAGTAGAAATTGTGTATCCTGAGCACTTGTTTTTTTTCTTTGCAAAAAGTGTTATAGGCCTGCTAAAATTAGCCAGCAAGAAGGATGTGAAATACAATGATGTTTTGTTGTGCTTACGCAGTCTTGCATGTGTTACCTGGTTGCAGGTATATCATGTTGCATATAAAAACCCCCAAATCACTGAGAGCCAAGAGGGAGCTTGAGAAACGTGCGCCAAAACTGGTAATTCTCAAAAATATTGTTTCCTTTTTATTGTAAGAATCAGATAGTTCGTTAATGAAATGCAATTGTGCTGCATTGTGATGAAAGCTAATGCCTAAATGTGTATTTTTGCAGGTGGAATATGGGAAAAAGACCCTCATATTGCATGGGACAAAAACGAGCAATGTCCTGAATGCAGTATTGACAGAAATCTATCATCTTAAGAAGGATAATGCTGTGAAATATAGCCGTAGAAATGATAACATCAGACCTTTTGAGAGTGGTGGTGAAACTTCACTAGAGTTTTACTCACTCAAAACTGATTGCAGCCTGTTTGTGGTAAGCTAAATACACTTTGCCGTCATTGTGAAATTATTACTAGTGCTTTGAGGCCCAATTAGTGGCCCATAATCCCAAAATAAACCATATGAGTGTTTTTTAGAACTTCTATAACAAAAGTTCATCAACAGCTTGCTAAAATGGTTGAGATTTGGTAGAGGTCCTGAGTTCAAGTTCGAGTATTGGGTATCATCCGGTTAAATTACCGTGGGTGTGTTGATGGGAAGACAGCATAATTTCACCCCCTTGTGTGTGTTCTGAGGTCTTCACAGAAAAACATTTTCATCCGGTTATAGTACTTTTGGTTTCTTTTACCTTTAATGACAGTTCTACTTCTTCCTCTAAATGTTCCTTCTCAAAACTTTTGATATTTCTCATAAAAATCATCATTAAGAATGTTGTTGTTTAGTTATCAAGCTTTATATATTTATCCAAAAACCATATAGAGAAATGCTTAGATGAAAGAAGATTATATTTAGAGTTCCATATCGACCAGACTTGGACCATTTCTTCTTAATATATGTTGGAACCTTCCTCGTCTTTCTTAATGGCTCTTTTGGGATTTCACATATTCTCACATGATATCAGAGCCAAGATCTACCACTTTAGGAACTCGATACTTTGGAACAATCTGTGTCTCTGCCCATATATCCTCCGTTGGAGGAGGCATGTTAGAGCCCAACATCGGCTAGATTTGGACCATTTCTTCTGAATATATACCTCTCTTCCCTTCTCAAGGGTTCTTTTGGACAGTTTTCTGAGGGTTCTACATATTCTTACAATATTCTCTAGGAGGATAGATTAGTAATCCCTTGTGATGATTACATCACACAGAACTAAATTTATGAGATTTGTACATTTGACTATTTGGGCAAAAGGCTTATTTTATTTGGGGACAGAGCAAGTTTTTATTTTCTGAATTTCTGCCTTGCCATACTTGTCAAAGTGCTTTATTGTGAAGTTCCTCACTTCTTGAGTTGTTTTTCCTTTATTTCTATATTTAATCATTGTTTTTTCCTGCTCATATCTTTCGCTCCAGCTTGTTTTGTCAACAAACTTTTTGCACCTTGCAGTATGGTTCACACTCTAAGAAGCGGCCTGACAATCTTGTGATAGGACGAACGTATGATCACCATGTTTATGACCTCGTGGAGGTCGGAATTGAAAATTTCAAAAGCATGGCATCATTTTCATATGATAAGAAAATAGCCCCCTTAATCGGATCAAAACCTTTTTTTGCTTTTATTGGAGAAGGATTTGAGAACGTTGAAGAGCTCAAACACCTTAAGGAGGTTTTGCTTGACTTGTTCAGAGGACAGGTGTGTCTGCCACTTCCCTTTCGTGTCCTTGTTTTAGCCGTTTCTTCTTTTATGCTTAAAGAGTATATTATGAAGCATTGATTCCGTAATCTACTGTTGCAGGTCGTGAAAAATCTGAATCTTGCTGGGTTAGATCGTGTGTATGTTTGTACAGCCGTGTCTTCTAACAAAGTGCTGTTCACACATTGTGCTCTGAGGCTTAAAAAGTCGGGCACCATTGTCCCGAGGATGGAGTTGGTGGAGGTGGGACCTTCAATGGATTTGGTAGTTAGAAGACATCGTCTTCCTGATGAAAGCCTAAAGAAAGAAGCCATGAAAATTGCTCCCGAGTTAACAAAGAAGAAGGTTGGTCGACTTTTTGTTTTTTTCCACACCTGCCCACAAACAAAAACCATTACTTTGTTCCCATTAAAATTGCAACACTAGTGATTTCCATGAAAAAGTTCTATACTCTAGTTGGTAGAAAGACGCCTAGTTAAGTCTATTTGCTCATTATTACTTTCAGAAATAATTTGATGACATCACTTTGTGGGTGCATTTAGTACATGGGATGGGATGGACAGTACTGAACAAAAACTTGTCCTATGTTTGGTGCAACATCAAACTAAGACAAGACATGACAGAGTGGGAGAAATATGCATTTTATTTATCCTACCAAAATAGGTGGAACAAAAATCAGGGAGATGAGACAAGATTGGTAAGTTACTAAACTACCCATGTCAAATTAAAACCGGGAAAACTTGGCACAATTTTTTTACCAACCTACTTTACTATCGCCCCGCCAGTCTTGTCCAAGTCCCGTCCGGTCTAGTCAAGACCATTCTTGTCTGCTTATCAAACGCACCCGAGTGCATAAGACCATTATTGTCTTCATTAAAGGGTCTTTATATAGTAAATGGAGAATCAAACATTTTACTTAAATCATACTCCAAATCAATGGATGCAAGCTTTATGGAACCAAGAAACTAATCATAATTTGGGGAAATGCTAAAGATCAAAAATAATTTGCGTCACGAATGCATTAGATGATTTGTATGGTACAACTAGTAATGCAGTTGGATGCTTGTACCCTGCAACTCAGGAATGCACTTGTTTGTGATCAAGATCTGTATCATTTAAAAGTTAACGTTGTTCTTAGATGTTTATGCTATTATCTATTTGTCATACTTTCAGGAGAAAAACGTCAGCAAAGATGCAATTGTGGGGAAAATCGGCAAGATCTATGTTCCTGATCAAGAGGTGTGTTTTCTCCCTATCCTTGTTCTATTCATGATACCACTCACAATAGCTAGCATTCAAATTAACATGAAGATTAGAGGCAGTATTGCACTTTAGACTCATTGGTCCAGAAGATTGATCCATAGCCATCTCTGCATCTAAAAAGAACCTACTAGTTAAGATATCACAAATTCTTGTTGTGAATCTTAATTATCATGTCATTAAGTTAATAGAAGCAGTAACTTTATGGTTGGTACCAAATTCAATATTTCATTTTCTAAAGAGAGGGGGGGTGTGATTATGAGGAGAAAAATGTGTTTATAAGACGGTTTTTTCCCTACATAAAGGTATCGTGGTTAGTTCGCGGTAAAATTAGTGGTAGCTGCAAATTTGCCCGAAAACAGTAAAGGGAGCCTTTGGTTTGATGGAATGATTTTGAGGGATTTGGATCTCGTGGAAAGATTTGAAATGGAGGGATTTGGATTTTCGTGGAAAGATTTGGAATTGGAGGGATTTGAAGTGGAATTGAATTCCATTATTTATAAATAATAAAAACAAATTATAAATAATTATAAAAATAGTTAAATTATCTTTTTATTTAGATTATTGCAAAATAAATGTTTTTAACACATTTTAAAACATTATTACATACAAATCTTACAAAACCACGTGAAATACCAAGCGTCTCCATGGGATTTCAAAATCCAATGTTCGTGGGATTTCAATCGCAATTTCAAATCCGGGAAACCAAACATGGATCAGAATAGAATTCAATTCCAAATCCCTCCAAATTCAATCCAATCTATCAAACCCAGCGGGACCTAACTCCTAAGGGCCCTTTTGACTCACGGGATTTGGAATTGAATTCCATTTCATTCCTGCGCTTGGTTTAAGGGAAGTCAAGAATTGAAATTCCGAGATTTCAATGAATTCCCACAAACATTGGGCTTAGAAATCCCATGGGATGGTCGGTATTTCATGGGAATTCGTAGGATTTGTTTGTAATGATGTTTTAAAATATGTAAAACATTTGTTTTGATATAATCAATTAATAAGTAATTCAATTATTTTTGTAATTATTTATAATTTGTTTTTATAAATTATCTATAAAGAATGGACTTCAATTCCATTCCAAATCCTACAAACCAAACTCACAAAGTCTCCAAATTCCAAATTCTTCCATGAAATCTAAATCCCTTAAAAATAATATTCTGTCAAACCAAATGGACCTGAGTTATAACCTTAGGGGGTGTCTAGTAACAGAATTGTTCCAGCGGAAACGGGGTGGTGTTTCCACAATAAGGTTTTGGGCCACCTACCCTACCCTAGGACCTGCGATTTACCTGCCCTATGATGATCGTCTTGGGACCGATACCGTGGAGGCGCTGCGGAGGATAAACACAAACCCTTTGCACCGAGATTTTTCTGAATCTAGTATTGGGGACACTGTCCTTTGTTTTTCTCTTTCTCATGGGATTATGAAACCACATTGAAATGGTCTCTTGTTTGTTATATGTCTTTTCAGGTTGGAAATGCATCTTTACCTTATAAGCCGAAGGGGGTGAAAAGGGAGCGTCGTGAAGCGAAGGCCAAAGGCGAAAGTAATAACCATGCAGAAAAGAAGCAGAAGCAACAGGACGACGATTGCTAATGGTTGCGTTTTTTTCGGTCATACTGTGTTTTCTTCTTTTTGTGTCTTAGTCGGTGATCTTTCGTTATAGTTCATTCAAAATTTTGGACATTTCTTTGGCGTCGATTTTGGTATCATGAGATGGCAAAGATGGGCTAGTTTACGTTATTGATGACTTGTTTTACTTCCACGAGCTGACTGATTGAGTCTATCATGTCATTTACCATACCGTGTGAGCATAGCAAGAACCGAGAATCTATACTGGTAAAAGGCATGGTAAGGACGCAGATAGTACTTTATGTGTAAAAGACGCTTACTAACAATCTTATTATATTATTTTGATGGTTGTGAATCTTATTTTGTAAACATCTGGTTAGTGTTGGTAAATGTCCCTTAAGTAATTATGGTCAACATCTTATAGTTGGTTGTTTTATAACATCTCCAACATATTCTCCAAAATGGAGATTTTTGTTCCAACAAATCCCCAAAACCGTCTCTAATATAGAGAAAGTAAAAGAGGGTGAAATTCTCCAAATTTTGAGAGATTTTAAAAAATGATTAAGGGGTTGTTTATTTACCTCTTAATAATTCCATTAAGAGACAACTTCTGAATAGTTAAGAGGTGAATTTTGTTTGACAAAAAAAAAATCTACCTTTTAATAATTTTAAAACCCTCTGAATGATTTTGTATTATGGATCTCCCTTAACCATTAAGAGCCATAATTTCATTGTATACAATTACCAAACAATTATATTTCATTTTGTACTATATCGTGAGAGCCTCTTAATCATTCTGATCACATAATAATTCTGCACCAAACCATTTAGCAATTGTCAAACAGCCCCCAACTATTTTTTCTTCCTATTAATAAGAATCCTTAAAATTAAATCTATAGGAAAGATAAAAACATTTTATGAAAAGTATGCAATATTTTAATAGTATAATTCAAACTGTAATCTTTAAAAATAGAGAAGCTGTTGAAGATGAATATAATTTTTTTTAGAGATTTTGACTTTTGATTCTTTATTTTGAAGAATCTGCTGGAGATTCTCTTAAAAATAGTATAATGGTTCTAAATCAAGTCAAAGCTACTCACCGAGTCCTACACAAAGTGGGGTTTGGGGTCGGTATGATGTATTCAGACCTTGTCTTCACCTTGGAGCATAAAGTGTTCGGTTCTGTAAATACCCCGATTTGTAAAAAGGTTATGAGAAGATTGGAGTTCTTTATTAACTATAATTGTATTTGTGCAGCCCGATGCAATGCATCTTGATTTTGAAGTCGAGAGCTCGAACCTTTAATCATGATTCATGTTTTGTTCCTTACGGTTTATTAATGGTTTTGTGTGCTTACGAGAGAACATGAGGGTCTACAGTTGATCATCAGTTTTTATGTAGTGTTTTGTTGTATTAATAAGATAACACTTAATCAGTATTCCAACATTTTTATTAGTTCATTATTGATTTTATGGAGTTTAAACGTGAGGTTTAAGAAGCTGTATCTATAAATTAATAAGAAGTTGTTTGGTTTAGTTGTTTGTATGCATTCGGCTAAATTGTTGTTCGGTTGTTGTACTGAATGAACGGTCTGAATGACAATCACTATTGTACCCCCTCAGTTTATATTAAATATCAGTGTTCAAAAAGGTGCGTCATGGCAGACTCGTCTCCGCCCTTATGTAATAGCTCATAGTGTTTCTATAAGCGTGGCTCACGCCATGGCGTCTTGAGTCATGTCGTGGCGCACGCTTTTTTGTAGTACATTATTTTTTCCCAAAAAAAAACTATTTTTTTTAATTTTTTTTATCTTTTGTGTTTTTACACTTTCAACTTTATAATTTATACCTTTATAGATCTAACTAATCACATCATTCACAGTTTCATAAATTTATAAACGTTATAGACTCACGGTTAAAATGAAGTTGCAAAATTACCTTTTGAAGTTCTATTTTAGATATTTAATCAAAAATTAATTTTTATAATAATAATTTATATGATTTTTCTTCTTATAATATGAATCTACATTTTTTAATGTCATTATCTAATTAGATAATATAAAGAAAACACACACACACACACACATATATATATATATATATATATATATAACTCTATTTGTTATTATTATAATTAATGGGTTGAGTTCACGTGAGACCAAAAGTTTTTCGTGAGACCCGTAAGATCAATTTATGTTCATTGATCAACTTTATAAGCTAATGATCTAATGATATAAAGTTGCACGGTGCAATTTTGTGATTATTGAGTAGTCTCGTGACAATTTTGTGATTATGAATGTTCAAATTATAGATCTAATTCAAGGGTTGAGAATTGGTCTTACGGGTTTCACGAAAAATCCTTGGTAACATGATCCTAAGGGGTCGTTTACCAAACACTTACCCGGTAAGTGCTTACCGGTAAAACTTAACACTATTATTTACTTCTCGGGTAAGATTTTAATCCACCAAAATGACATCGTATGCAACAATTTACCTTGTAAGCGCTTAACGTGGTAAGAGTCGTCGCTCTCACTTACCGGGTAAGACTTTTGGTCCTTATCTCGCTCTTACCGGGTAAGATTCTTGGTCTTTACCATATTAATGCGGTGAGGTAATGTTATTTGGTAAGCACTTACCCGAGTAAGTGTTTGGTAAACGGCCCCTAAGTCTATAATTATATATACATATATAATATTAGAAAATTTGGATTTCCCTATCAAATACAAATTGTAGAAAATATTTACATTAGATGATAATTTTATGATAATTTTATGATAATTTTAAATAACCATTACATAAAATATAAATAAAAACAAAATTGGTCAACCTCACATATTTTAATTAATTAATAATTTATCAAAAAATTAAATTCAATATTTTTCTAAACTATTTATCAAAGTTTTTTTACTTATGAAACAAAAGAAATATATAATTTTAACTTTGAATAATAAAAAAATTACAAAAAATGGATAAAATTAATAACAATTCTAAATAATCAATAACCAGTAATAATGAATAATCTACAATTAAAATTAATTAATGATTCGAAATTAATATTAACTAATGATAATAATTAAATTAATCAACAAACTAAATTTAATATTAATCAATAAATTAAAATAATTAAAAGTAATTACTAATTTTTAATTAATATTTATTTATAATTAATAGTAATAAACAACGAAAGTTATAATTAGAAAAAAGTGTCAGAAAGCTCCTAAAACGCTACTCCAACTAATTTTATCTATCCAAACATATACTCAAAAAATAAGCTAGCCCATGTTTACCAAACAATGTCTTAATCTAAGGCTCCCTTTCCATTGTCAGATCTGAAGAGGGTTAATATTTTGGTACTTGAATATGTTATTTCTTTACTCATAATTTTTTTTAATCATCAACCATTTGATAACAACTTATCCATATTTCTTACGTATATCACATTCAATTAATTTTCTCAATTTATATATATATATATATATATGTTCACAGTTATTAAACATATATACGAATGAGTATATAGAGACGTGAATAGATTGAAAATATTAGTATATGAACAGCATATATGATAGTGTAATTATCTAATATATATATATTAATAGAAATTCAACAATCATATTAAATCCAAGAAATAAAAGAATATCGGGTTCATCGGGTTAAGTTGAGTTCAAATATTATTAACCCAATACCTCCGGTTTGACAATTTTACAACTCGATTAGACATCGTGTTACTTCGGATTGGATTATTTCGCATTGGATTGGACTGAGTTGATCGGGTTGGTCGAGTTTTTAAACACCCGTAGGTTTTATTATGTAATAGATGAAGATAAATGATCAAATACGTAATAAATCATAAACCGCATGGACCAAATCCGTAATTTACTCAATAAAACATTACATTTTTAGACTTGGGTAAACCGGCGGTTCGATTTTTCTAATTTGGGTTCGGCCCCGGTGGATATACGCGCAAGACGTATATCCACGCAAGACGTCACTTTCAGTCGCCGTCTCCGGTCCGGATGAGGTATCGCCTCCCTCCTATGCTCCTTCGCAACCTCCATTCTTCCTTGGAGGTTTCCTCCATGGCGGCGACGGCTATCTTCTTTCGCACCATCTGTTCACCATCGTCCACACTCGCATCGTTACCTCCATTGCTCTCTCATTCTCGGTCTGCTGGTCTATCGTATTCTACTACTTCTTCTACTCCATTGTTTGGTGGTTTATTTGGCGGTTCTGTTTACCACGGAGATGGAGATTGGATGCATTCGAGAAGGTTGGGAGGGAAGGTATTGGCGTCGCAGCGAGGGTATAGGAAGGTGCGAGGTCGCCCGTCGGCCAGGAAGAAGGAGAAAGGGAAGGAGTTGGAGCTCGATGTAAAGATTTGTATCGAAGAACAGTTGCCCGATGATACTGAAATTCTGGTTTTACTCCCTCTTTCTGTTTCCATTGTTTTTTTTACTGGTGTTCTAAAAACCGTTTACTTGAGCTAAAAATGGGGATTAAGCGGATGCTGAAGATGTACACATAAGTATATAAAATGCAATTATTTTTGGATTATATCAGAATTATAATTCTGATATTGTATAATTATTGTGCATATACCTGTCACGCTTCCCTTAAACTTTGAATCCTAACAGGTAGAGATGATTGGAATATCTTCAACTGAGAAAAAGTTTGCAGACATTATCTTTGGATCGATTGGAATGTCAACTCGTCAGCAATTCTTCTATATAATTAGCTTAACCAAAATCATATTCAAACCTCATTGATTTCCTTTTTCCAGCGAGTCCTGCCCTGTTCTAATTTTACATTCACATGCATCAAATAGCGATGAAATTTGGAACACTTGTCTTGAGTCTAGTTGTTCCATCAAATAGAGATGAAGTTTGAACCCTAAAAGCTTCTTATCATTTATCTTTAGCAGCTAATCAAGATAATCCACCAAAGATTAGATGATAGAACAGAAAAACTTGGAATAATACAAACCAAGTCCAACCCAATATCTGTTGTTTGGCCTAATTTTTTATCAACCATGTGGAGTATGCGTTTATCGGGTTGGGTCGGGTTTCATTGGGTCTGGCCCAACTCCAAGTCTAACCAAATATATGCGGTTTGACCTAATCTTGTATCAACCATGTGTTGGCTTGCATTTTTTGGGTTGGTTTGGCTGGGTTGGTCGGGTTTTTGTGCACCCCTATATGCAGTTCAAATTTGTTACTTGTTCAAGTTTTACTTCTTATTTTTTCGTGGATATTTATATTGTTCATCAATGTAAATGCTGAAGTCTTGTAAGCTGTAGGGAGAGGTTGAGTCAACACGCTTGAGATGGTTCGATCATATTTTTGTAGATGTTTTTGATGCATCAGTTAGAAGAGGAGACTTGTAATATTAGGAGGACATAGACTAGCCTACTAGGGGCAGGCCAAGATTGACATGGGAAGGTAGAGGAGAAATTTGATTGACATGGGGAAGCAGCAAAGGTAGATTTTGAATATATGGAATAAATTAAAGGAGTTTGGCTCATGAAAGAAGTGTGTGGAAGGATGCTATTAGTGTGCCCTTGCTCAATGTAGGATAGGATGGGATGGGGTGGGGGTATGGGCCTTCACCTTTATATAAGGTTTGCTGGGATAGCCAACCTCAACTCTTTGGAATAATAAAGATTGTTCTTCTTGTTAAATTGGGCAACAAAATTACTTTGCATAAATGGGACAAGTAACATGCCACAGTCATATCCAACTAGTTGGGCCTTGGGATTATGCATTTGAAACCAGTAACAGAAATAAGAGGTGAGCCATCTAATAATATTTTGTTTACATGGTAATGTACCTGAACTCTCAGAACCTGTTCTTCGACCTTTGCATAGGGTGAGTTATCCTGTATCAAAATATTTGGAAATCAATCATCTCTCCATTCGTTTACCTATACAGCATAGTTAGTTTGACACGGAATGTGATATTTGGGAACTTCTTTTAACTCATAGATTTAATTGGTAGAATGGAGAGGCATATCTTGATTAAAACACTTCTCTTTCTAAATTGGGCAGGATATTGCAGAATTACTTCGTCTAAATGTTCCAATGGCTATGAAATTAGCATTTGATGGGTTAAAAGATTCAGATCATAAAACAAGAGATCCCACTGTCGATGATGTTGGCCAATTCGAGAGTGTCGAGTTATCAATACTTCTATGCCATGATGAATGCATCCGTGAGCTTAATAAAGATTGGAGGAATGAGGACCATGCTACTGATGTTCTCTCTATGTCTCAGCATATGCCTGAACTCAAGCTTCCAATGGTGAGAACTGCAACTGCATTTACGACTATGATGTACTCACTCCCTCGTGAAATTGACATTTCAATTTTGATATGAAACTGAGAGTTACTTTCTAACTTCAAATTGATATGAACATGATGGTGTAGGGGGAAAGTTGGATAATGATGTCAAACTATTAAAAGTTTTGCAATATGAACATTTTAGAGTTTAAAAACTAAATCATCATTGTCAATCATGAAATCTCAAAGTACCTGGATTAAATTTCTAAGATCAAAACTTAACTTCGTTTATAGGATGAACTACCAAAAAAATAAAATAACATGTCTTTTCCATCCTGCAGCTAATGTTGGGTGACATAATAATTTCCGTCGAAACGGCTGCAAGACAAGCAGAGGAAAGAGGGCACACTCTTGTTGACGAGATACGCATTCTTATGGTTTGTCCAACTTATACTTTATCCTTCAAATGGTTTTGGGTATTTAAAAAGGGAACTGAACTGTATTATTCGATGCCATGTCCTCCATTTGAATGTTGAATCCTCCTTTGGATCTTTATTTAATTTACATAAATGTATACACAGAGTGTCACACACACACATACTTGCACATGTGTGTATACATATACATACACATATTTGCATACATTTTGTTATATGTGGGGGGAGGGGATGTAAATGTTGGCAATGACTGCATGGTAGAAGTCACTCTAAACCTCCATGAACTAATTGTACCATGTCAACAATGTGTTTACGACATGCTTGGTAGGTACCTCCTGAAATTTGTGCAGTCTTACCATCTTATTTCACACAGATATTTTAGAATATGATGGAGGGGGGCTTTTTCCTCCCAATCCTATAGTTCATCTTTTGGTTGATGAAAACCACATTATGCGAAAAAAGAGCAACATGAAATCAGTAGTATCCAAATAACCATGATAACCTTGTCTAATCAATTTAAGAAAATAAATATTTTTTTTTCCTATCTTTCTATGTGTCATAGTTTAGTTTACACAGGAATATATATGGGTGCCCCTTCATTATCATCATAAATGTGGAAGAAATAAATAGTCTAGGGAAAATGAGATAATAATGAAGAGGAAGTTGATGCTGTGAAATGAGATAATGATGAAAGATAGATATCATAACGATCTCTTGCAAAAAACGAGCCATCAAATATATGATTGAGAGAAAGAGGAAATAGAAAAGTGAGATAATTGTGGATAAAATGATTATATGGTTGATGAAAAGACAAAAATCCATGGTTCTAAAAATTTGTTATGGCCTCCTTATGGCACGTTATGGCACCGAGGCTTGGCTTCGCCGCCACGTTAACCCCTGTGGCTCCACCCTAAGGTTTGGCTTCCGTTGTACTGCGTTATGGTGTGTTATTTTGTAAGGCATGCGTTCTTTTTACTTTTTTTAAGCATATAACTTGGGGGATAAATGATAGTTATGTACGACACATAAGACTTAAGTACACATTATAAGGAAACATAAAAACTAAACCCTAAAATTGGTAAATCTTTACTCTTTTGTTCTCGTACATGGAGAGTCGAACAAGAATTTTTTAAAGATTGAAGAAAGTAGTGAGTAGAGACAAGAGATTTAATCCATCTTGCACTCTTGATATCATTTTGTTATTAGCTCGATAATTATAAATTCATATGAATTTAAATTGTTCTACGGGATTATTCAAAACACTAACAAACACAAGTTATATACATACATATATGTATACAACTATACATATGTCGCCTTAGGGCACGCCTTGAAAAACGCCATGGCCTCGCCGTAACTCGTAAGGCTTGAGGCTTGACCTCACCGCTACGCCACGCTATGCTTCACATCATTTAGAACCTTGCAATAATTGGACAAACTATTTCTTAAAAGTTACTACAAGGGGTACTTGATATTATTTGTAACAGGTTATACAATTAATTTTCTTTTGATACTGAAATCTACATAAAATTTTGTATTATTGGTAAGGGTAACAAGTCGGCTTGTGTTTAGAATTTCTGTATGCTAGCATGTCCTTTTTACAACCATAGGATAATAATTGGACATTGTAAGATATGTTGGAGCAGATGGCAGCATACACAAATCTTATCTATGGAGGGATCTCATATAGCATATTTGTATATTTAAACCTTGATAGTACAAAAATAAATACCTGCTTCAGTATTTCTATTGTACATAGTGTGCATATTTTCATATAGAAGGTGCATTTCAGTTGACAATGGAATGCCTTACAAAACTTGCCGTAACAAGTGGAAAATTATGTGTCAACATTTGTACTTGACTATAAGTAGAGAACTACTGCATCCGTGAGAGGTGATAGACTACAAACAGGTTTACTTGCAGTTTACGATGTAGAAATGCTGTGAATCACGAGAGAAGATGGAAAGAAAACACTAGCAAGATATTAAAATCACATGGTCAGAGAGAATTATAATTGTTGATTAGATACTATGACCATCTTCATTTGATTTTCCATTTTTAATTGTCTTTTTTCTGATCGGTTTCTCGAGCAATGTTATTTGAGGCTTACTTGTGAAGTTTAATAAGTTATCCATAAAAAACTAATTAATTTAAAAAGCTAAACCATAAACCCTAAAATGGTTAGGATTTATTTTTGCTCTTCCTACTTTTTTGGTCACAATACATAAAGAGAATTCCAATAAAAAAGTTTGTCCTAGCAGTAGCTTAACAACCTGATACCTTGGACTTATCTTTTGCTGGCTCCATCTTACTTCTAATTTGAGTAGCAACAATGACATCATTGAAAAGCTTTGATGATCTCTATATTGCTGCTTTTACATTAGATCAATTGGTGCAGAACAGAATTAGAATTGCGAAACTCCACTTCTATATATTTCCAGGTTCATGGGTTGTTGCATCTTCTGGGATTTGATCATGAGCTCAGTGACAAAGCTGAAGCAGAAATGGAGGAGGAGGAAGAACGTCTCCTGAAGAGTCTTGGATGGAAAGGGAAAGGATTGATCCAAAGTGCATCTACTGCTGAAGATGATGAAAGCCCTCTACCAAAGACTCCCGATGGTATTTTACACTTGCACATTCTTGGTTACTTAAACATTTATCCATAGATTTCTCAAGTTTGAGCATGTTAAATTTGTACGTTAAAGTAAATTGTGGTAGAATGCCTTTACATGTGAATTATCAAAAGGAAGGAAGAAAGCAGGCAGTCTTCGATTCTACAAGCCAAAGTTCAACTATATATTCTGTGACATGGATGGTAAGATGGACTCCAAATGTTTTGTTAGACGTTATTTGTATGTTCCGGATATGATTATTGGTTGTTATGCATTGCTATGGACATAAGGTACACTGCTGAATAGTGAAAGTCGAATATCTGCTACCAATGCAAATGCTTTAAGAGAGGCTTCATCAAGGGGTGTAAAAGTGGTGATAGCCACTGGAAAAGTAAGGAAAATTGGGATTTTGTGGTAATTTCTCAGAGTCTGTTTTAGTTATCTTGTTTATGCTGTGGTGCTTGCTTGGGTTCTTACTATTTTGCATGTAATCCTTGGAAACAGACTCGTCCAGCTGCTATAGCTCTATTGAAGATGGTGGATTTAGCAGGCCGAGATGGAATTGCTTCTGAGTATTCACCTGGTGTTTTCATACAGGTTGTCTACTTGCTAATTTTTTCAACTAAAAATGTCCCTCGTCTCTGCCACATTTTCAAGTGTCGCTTGTTACTTATCTTTCTACCCTAAAATGGTCGACGACCCATCTTCTCTGCAAATTGCGAAGTAGTTAAGTGGCAATCTGACTTAACACTGATTGACTATAAATTAGAAATTGCAAGTTAATTTTATATCATTGATTAGTTGAGGATGAAATGTCCGTGTATGATGCAAAGAAGATATGTTAAGAAAGTTTGAATCTTGAAAATGGGAGATCTTGGCGGTTCGCATCCAAACTGGACTTCTGAGATGCAAGCTCACAGTTTTTAGTTTCCTCCATTGGAAGTCTTGAAAAGCCTGTCATGGGCCTAGATGCAAAGTTTTAAAAGACCATCTTTCTTACTAAAATCACAAGTTCATGCTGTGATCTCTAAAGGATAAGTTCACGCTTATGAGCTTTATAATGAAAGAAACTACTATTAGTAGTACACCTTGACACCTCGGTTTTACAGTTAACCCTTGCTTTTATGAGTATGGATCTTCTTTGTCTTTTATTCTTGAGGTAGTAAACATATAACAACTAGTGTATCTCCATGATTGCTACTTTACCCTTCTTGTAGCATTTGTAGCTTTAGGTTCACTGAAGTTTGATTTGTTGCTGACTTTGATGCCATATGGGTCATTTTCAGTCTATTTATCATTAAGAATATTTTCTTCTTTCTCTTATTCCCTATTTATAAATCTTTCAGGGTTTGCTTGTTTATGGAAAACAAGGCCGGGAAATTCACAGAAGAAATTTGGATCCACATGTTTGCAGAGAGGTATGTTATGCTGTTATGATTCTTAAGTTCTCCATAACTTTCAAATTTTATCATGCGACATAATAATCTGTGATCTGCCTTTCTCTAGCCCTCCCCTCTCCCTCTCTTATAATATATCAGAAAAAAAGAGTTCAGAATGCTGTATTTGACAATATTTTTGGAAGTGTTTATAGTTAAATTATCTTGAATTTGGATGCCTAATATACTGCAAGTGATGCAGGCATTTCATTACTCTATAAAGCACAATATTCCACTAATTGCATTCAGTGAGAGTCGATGCTTGACCCTATTCAACCATCCTCTTGTGGACTCCCTCCACACCGTGTATCATGAGCCTAAGGTACCTTAGTCATTAATATAATCTTTCATTTGTGCCATACAAGTATAAGTTGATTTCTGTGGGCCTCTTAGCACTTATTTAACACAAACCATTAACAGGCAGAGATTATGCCTTCAGTGGAGCACCTTTTAAGTGGTGGTGATGTACAGGTATGTAATTAGTTTTTTGAGGAAAATGTATCTTATTGTTTGTTTCTATTATGTTCATTCTTTTTTAATTTCTATTAACAAGCACATGCTGTAGAGTGCCAGCCATCGAGTGTTTATTCGTAAAGAAAGGGTGTATGGCCATGTTATGGGCTAGAAGTTAATTTCTAACCAGCCCTTAATTGAAGCGTGCAAATTATATTTTCAGGGGTGTAACATCTGTATGCTCATCCATGTCTACTTCTTTATGTTGTTAAATTCAAACTACAGAAGGTGCTATTTCTACACACTGCTGAAGGGGTGGCTGGTACCCTCAGGCCATATTGGGAAGAAGCAACAACAGGCCGTGCCTCTGTTGTCCAAGCACAGCCAGATATGCTTGAAATTGTACCCGCTGGTACTTCTAAGGGCAGTGGAGTAAGCATGCTGCTTGACCATTTTGGTGCTACTGCAAATGAGGTGTGTGCCATGGAACTTCCATCGATTATATACCTTGTACCGTCGCTTGTGTTATATTACAATCCACAGAAATTATTTGCATATTCCTTTGTTCCAAAGAAAAAAGAGTTGTTATCAAACGACTATAAACCACCACCCATCTTTTAATATATAGACGATAGACATGGATATTACAATCACAACAATGACAGGTGACAGCAGCTACAAAAACTACCTTGCCTGAATTGTTTACAACAGAGGCATCTTATAAGTTGAGATTTAATTTCTTGCTTAAGGGCTAAACAGACTACGACGGAGATCCTAGGTATGATTTAGTTCTATGGACCACAATAAAAGAATCTCAGTCAAGGAGACAAAACAAAAACTGCACCACTACTATTATTTTGTAATGGATACCTTAAGAGAGAATAATAGTGGCGGATTAGGTGTGATGAGATCATGAGAAACATGTAATGGACAGATTATCATCATAGGCACCTCAATCTCCTCATTTGCTAATGTCAATGACGATATGTGGTGTATAGTAGCTTTGGTGGCAAGGATTCAAATCTCAGAAGTCCAAAATGAACGCTGATTATTGAAGTTACCCTGTTTTACTAAGTGAGGACTGTTTATGTTCTATATCAATGCTCTTAATCATTAACACAATTAGCGGTATGATTCAAGGACTAATGAGATCAGAAAAGTGGTTTAAGGTGTTGATCTGATCTGTGTGTAATTCCAGGGTATGGTTCATGAATTTTCCAGGTCTTGATTTTCACTTCTGAAATGTGTTTTCAGAATTTTCAATAATTTGGAACTATTTTCTAGAGGGGTTGATGAAAATCTGTATTGTACTTCATAACCGATTATGTTGTTTGAGAGATACAAATAAGTTCAAGAGTATGTGCAGTAAGTAATATTTGAAGAGAAGTTTCATGAAAAATTGCACCAAGCGTACGTGTAGTTCCAATCAATATAATCGAGTTAATTTCTTATAATAACATTAATTCACCATAAGCATAGCCAATTAATCCTTGTTACTAGATTCTTGGTAGTTATTGCGAGAGTTAAAATTTGTTTCACGTTCCCCCTTCCTGTATTTCCCATGGATGAGGAGGCACTAGGTCAAAGGGGTCTAAACACGCCTTATCTCTTGAACTGGTTAACATAGTCTCCAATAAACGTTCCTACTGCCTACTCATCTGCTAGATAAGCATCTTTTTCTCTCATATTCTATGCACATGTGCTGTCGTCCTTCTTTCTCAATGCTACCTGTTGGCTTAAGCTGGCATTGATTTTGTTTTCACCAAATGTTACTTTTGGCTTGCTAAAATAAAAACAACAGCATGCAACGATCAGTGTGGAATTTACTTAACAGCCATTGATACTGCTGTGCTATCTTGCCAATATGGAGTTGATTGATGAAGATATAGCTGTTTCATAGAAGGCTAGAGCTATGTGAAATCTGTTAAGTACAACCTAATCTCTTTAGTAATGTAGCCATATATACTTGCCTCTAAAGAAAAAGCACTATATCTGGTTTTGCTTCCTGCCTCCTGTACTAGTTTCAGACATTGGTTTTGTTGAACAACAAGCTTTTTATTTCTGATGAAATTACTGCTGGACTTCAGGCCATACATGAGGTCACCCTTAGCCATTCGCCGTTTAATAACTAAATAAATAGTCTGACTTTTGTATTGATCGTCAATGAAGAAAAATCAAGAGGTATCATAGATATTTTTGGGCATGCTTGGTTACTAAAATTATTCATTAGTTGGTGGACCAAACACTAGATTTATCTTCGATCTCATTAGCATAGCATCCTTACGCTCGTATACTAGTTTATTAAATTTCACAAATAATTTATGTATTAAGCTCATCAAGTGCAAATAAAGTTTTACTATCAAATGAATCGATCATAGACCTATCTGTAAATGTGCAACTCTTGAATGAAAAATATGGATACTAAACCGTATGTTTCATACAATGAGGTCCAATATGCCAATTCTTGATGCAGTTTTGTGAAAGTAAATCAGTGGCAACCATCAAAGTTACCACTGAGCCCGCTATTTTTCCCTTTTTAGAAGAGGATGTGCATTAACATGCTTGCTCATTCCATAAAAATGTTGTCATGACTTTAATTGTAACTTTTGCTGGTTCACGTAGATTTCCCTTCCCTTCATCCTGGTGTGTTTGGTATGCGGGGAAGTACCGGACATAAAAGAACTTGTCTCATGTTTTGTGCGACAATTAGACTTGGACCGGACAGGAATGAGTGGTACAAATGCATTTTTTTTCTCCCACCAAAATAAGTGGAACAAAAATCTGGGAGATGGGACAAGCTTGGTGAATTACTAAAATACCCATGTCAAATTAAAACCTTAAAACCTTCCACAATTCTTTCACCATCCCACCTCACTCTTATTTATCCAGTCCAGTCCCATTTGTGTACCAAACACGCCCCAAAGAACCTTCTACTTTTAACTTCTGTGATCCCTACTTGAGGTCTTTAACACTTTTCTCTTTTTTACCAATGGTGATCAGGTAATGGCAATTGGTGATGGCGAAAATGACATTGAGATGATTGAATTGGCTTCTTTAGGCATAGCTCTCAGTAATGGTTCAGAGAAGACAAAAGCTGTGGCTAACGTGATTGGTGCCAGCAATGACGAAGATGGAGTTGCTGATGCTATATACAGGTATGCGTTTTAAACAACATTTGAGCTCAAACTCGAAAAACTTGTATTCTTTTCATAGTTATTTTTTTCATTTATTCCCCCCCTTGGGATTCCTATCCGTTATTGAGTTAGCTAGCTAGATACGGGAAAGGGATAAAGAAAGGCTTAGGGGTCGTTTACTAAACGCTTACCCGGTAAGTATTTACTGGACAATTTTCCTTAACGGATGAACATGGCAAAGGCAAGAATCTTACTTGGTAAGAACGATGATAAGAACGGAGAGTCTTACCCGGTAAGTGAGTCTTACTAGGTAAGCAATTACTGGGTAATCATTTAGGTAAACGGGCCCTTAGTTATTACCAAAGAAAAGAAACAAAGAGCGCAAATTGTCATCGGTCCAAGAGACTTTGTTAATGGCAATTCTATTTTTTTCTCATTGTAAAGCTTGGAAATCATCTAATTGCTTATAATGATTTCATGAACAACTCTTCTTGTATCCTCATTTCTCATTTGATGATGTCCAAATTTTCCCTTCAAGCATTTGTGTAAATGTGCTGCTTATTGGGAGGGTTATCTTTGATGGCATAAGTGAATGGCTTTAGTGTTGTAGGTGCGTAAATGAATGATCAAGGATCGGGGGCTTTTGCTATCTTGCGTTGTGTGTGTGTGTGTGTGTAATGTATGTACACGTGTGTGTATACGTATTCAACACACACATGCATGTTTGTTAACATATATATATATATATATATATATATATACATATCTCGAAAGTATCTAGTCTGTCTAACATATGGCATATGTTTTTTAGATTGACATTGCTGATTTGGTTACATTAGTTAAGTGGTAGCTCAACTGGCTCCCTGGAGGTCACTGGTTCGTTAAATAGAGGGTTTGTGTATGTTAACATCAGTCCCCCATGAGATTAACCTGGGTGTGTGCAAGCTGGCACAGGCACTCATGGTTACCAAAAGAAAAATTACCCGATACCTGAAATGTTGTTAAGACCTTTTTGTCTGTATTACCTACCTCCAGCACTACCCTATATTGGCTGATGTTGCTTTTTAGCCGGACTCTTCTGTAGAAGTACTTTCTTCATGGGTTTTCTGTTTAATCCAAGATCGACTATAAGATATCAACAACCCTAGAGAATGTCTCCTGGGGACCACTCCTTTGCCAGTGGGATGCATGCTCCGTGATGACTATGGGATCGGTGAAATGGAGGAGCTTCGGAGGGTGCCAGATACCCTTTTTCTCTCCGGATTATGTGAATGTGATAATGACTCCAAAGGTATGTATATGAAAGTCCAAAAAGGGTGGTCAAGTTAGGGAAAACAAATTAGGTATTTTACGCCTTAATTGGAAGATATCTAGTTGGTTTTGGGAATTGGGATGGTATACTTATACAAATAGTGAGTCTTGCGGTTACAATGTAATGTGGGAGTTACAAGTCATTGAGGATTGGGCTTCTTGGAGGAACTAGACTCTTCAACCATCCATCTATCATGCTGTCGCGTATCTGATTTGTCTCTCACATGATGTTCATAGTTCGGGTGGTCTGGATGGTTGGTATCGTAGTGTGACTATGGACAGGGAGAGGCCCACATCGAGTGGGGTAGTTGTTTGTAGAACCACAAAAAAATGGAGCCATATGTCTTATTTTCAGATCTTTAAATGTGAATTTTTAACGTTTTTTTAATTTACTTCTCTTTCATGTTTTCATTTTTCTTTATATATTCTTATCATTTTAATTAATTAATTATTAGATAAGATACATTAAAAATACTTATTTTCTTACAAATTACAGTGTTTGAAAACTTTTGTCGGCATTTTAAAAATGAGTTAAATATTTGATATTTTAAAATTAATTATATTTTTAATGTTAAAATAAATAAATAAAATAATATATTTTTAGCGTTAATGATAAGCATGTCCGTTCTTTTTTGTATTTCTTTAAATAAAATTTAACATAAATAATAAAATGGAAATTTTTAATAAAGTTTTACGTGAATACAAATTTCTTATTAGGGTTTCTCTGTTTGGTGTTCGTTTGTTTATACTCATTTTTTATGTTAACATAATAACATATTAACCGGTTCTTTAGGGTGACGGTTATATTTGGTTTTAACTCTTAAAACTTTATGGTTATTTATTTAGAGTTAAATTGTGTTAATTTTTAGATATTAGGGTTTTTTTTTTGTTAATTTGAGGCTAAGTTTGTTGGATTAATTTATTTATATTTGATGTTAATATGTTGTATCTTGATTTGAACATGCACAATCATCAAGTGGAAATATTCCAACAACAACTACAAGGGTGGTGTCTGATTGGTTTGAGCTTGGCTCCAAAGGTAAAAAGTACTAGGAGGTTTTAGGTTTAAATTCAAGGAAAGAATAAAAATCCCCTTGTGGCCATGGAGGTTCAAATACGGTGACTGTAAGCTATCTGCAAAGCAGGTGGTCGTCCTGAGATTAGTCGGCTCACATAGTGGATTAGATATCCAGGTTAATCAAAAAAATATATTCCAACAACCGATAGAGTTTATATTAATCAATCCAAAATCATCAATCTTACCTTATTAGTTATTAATGTTTATCTGAAAAAATAAAACTAAAAAAATATAAGCTGAAGGCTGTCAACAATAAGCTGTTAGATTAGTTGTATGAATAATTATTAAATGATATATTGGTTATTAAAAAAAATACAAATAGTTTGATCATTAGGTAATATTGATATAATATATTCATTTATTAAATTGTAAATTTACAATTTTATTCAAAAAAATTTTCTTCATAAATTTAACATTAATATATTAATTGATACTAAAAAAATATAAAATATTCTTTATATTACAATAAAATAAAATATATTACATAATAAAAATACAAATTTAACACAAATATAATTACATTATTATTAGATAAATTTTTTAAAGCTGATACTCGTACAATTTTCTTTAGATCCGATCATGACTGTGGGATCTATTTTCATTAATTTCAGATATTTTCTAATTTCATGTTTGTATAATATATTTTATTTTATTTTATATTAATTATTTAATTAACAAATTATAGGAAATAATATTTTAATTATAATTTTATCGTTATTTGATTAAAATACAAATTTTATAATAAGATATTACTTAGAAAATTGGTTATTATTTCTTAATAATTAAAAAAAATTTGGTTAGCAAATAGCAAATGCATCGTATTTGAATGGTCCAGCAACCGTTTGCCCGCGTGATTTTCCCCCACCTCTATTTTCCATTTTTACCAGCGAAGAATCCTCCCGCTTTTTCCCCTTTTTCCGGCGATGAATCCTCCCGTTCTCTGCCCTCCGGCGATCCCCTTCTTCTGTCACCTCTTTTCCTCTCTATTTCAATGGCCACCACCACGCATCCAACCAGATACGGTCCCTCACTGTTTCGACGGCCTCCACACCTGCCCCGTTTTCCCTCCCTCATTTTGGTGACTTTGCTTCATAGATGAACCTGCTTCTCTGCACCTGCTTCGACTCTGCTTCCTAGATGTATTTGTTTTGGTGAACAGGGATTAATATTTGGTTATTATGGTTTACAATTGGTTGATTTTTGTTGATTAGTGTTGGATTTGGGTTGATTTTTTGTGATTAGAGCTTGTATTTGGTTGATTTTTGCTGAAGCAGAGATGGAGAAGGACTTGAGCGAAAGGGCATCTAGTGCTGAAGCTGATGAAACTCCCGATGGTATTTTAATCTTGCACATTCTTGGTTACTTAAACATTTATCCATGGATTTCTCAAGTTTGAGCGTATTGAATTTGTACGTTACAATGCCTTTACATGTGAATTATCAAAAGGAAGGAAGAAAGCAGCCAAGCCAAAGTTCAACTATATCTTCTGTGACATGGATGGTAGGGTTGACTCCAAATACATCCCTGGGGCTGTATTGTTTGCTGAATTCGAATTTGAAGGAATTTGATGGAATTGGAATCACAAATTCCTTTCACCAAATTCATTGATGATGTTTGGTTCGCAGATTGAATTGATTGGGTTATGCGGAAATTCATTATCCCTTGTCTCAAGTAAAAGATTTGAATTCCATTTCTGGGCAAATCTTATAATTTGTTTTTAAAAAGCCAAAAGTAATTTTAGCGTCCAACTTAACCAACACAACCACCACCCTAACACCTCTCGCCACCACCCTTCAACCACGCTCACCACCGCCCACCGAGCGCTAACATCTCCGTCCCCACTGCAGTCATTACCACCGCCACCGCCCACCGTGCGCTAACATCTCCGCCCCCACTGCAGTCATTACCACCACCACCGCCCACTGTGCGCTAACATCTCCACCCCCACTGCAGTCATTACCACCACCACCGCCACCGCCCACCGTGCGCTAACATCTCCGCCCCCACTGCAGTCATTACCACCACCACCGCCACCGCCAATTAATATTATCATTCCACACCACCCACCCCCAAACTCCACCACCACCCACCCACCCAA